TTATTTACATCATATTTTTAGACTCTTCATTCACAGTCGACTTCGATTCGGTGAAAATAAGCGTTGTTGAAAATTATTTGGTTATTAATATTTAAAAAAGTTGATTAGAGTTCAGAAGTTTTCACATCTTAGAAATGAATCCAAAACAACCAAGAATAACTTCAATTAAAGTTCTTCAATGATTAGGATAGACCAGGGATGCAATCGATACCTACCTGGGTGTGAAATCGATCGGTAGCCGGTAGGCCGACCAGTGATAGATGTATCCTATTTTCTTCTCAAAGTTTGCAGTGAATAGTTTTTCAAAATTTGTTCCGAATAGTATAAAATAGCTTATTGGGGAATTTTTATAGTATTAACGTATAATTGATAGTTTAAACAGTTGATAATTGATAAGTCTCAATCAATAAGCCAGTCTGTAATCGGTAGACCGGCACCGGTCTTGAAAAATCCAGACCAGTCCTATCTATATGATAGATAGCTAGCAGCGAAATATATTTGATGATTGAGTTAAGTAAATATAGATGATCTAGAAATCATACTAAAAAGCTTCTCGGCGCAGCGCCTTTGGGATTAGGGGTGACCCTTTATCTTTATTTTCCTTTATACTAAAGGATAAAGATAAAGGAATCCGTTATCTTTAGAAAATAAACGTAAATGATTGAAAAAGCATCTATAATTTAGGTTTTTAAAGATAGATGGATCATTTACGTTTAGAACATAATAGAAAATGATTGAAAATAAAGGAAAACTAAAAGAATAAATGATTTTTATTTTCAAGCGATAATCGAGTCGAAAGTATTCTAGAATTGTAGAACTCGTATTTTGGGAATATTCTTATCGTTGGGCCGATGTCTTTTGACTGAAAATAGAAACCTCTGAAGTGAAATCAACTGCTGTTGCTTTACTAGTATTTAGAGGATTTTAGTTAGAAAAATATAGATTAAATTAAAACTAATACCATATTCTGAATCAGCATTGAAAACGGAACAAACCTATGTGACTTTCGAATATATTTTAGATAGCTAGGTTTTCTACAAAAATTCACCCCCTAGCCCCTCAGGGTTTCTCGACCGAAAATCCTAAATTTTCAGTCAAAAGACATCGGTCAAATGATAAGAATATTCCCAAAACACAAGTTCTACAATTCTAGAATATTTTCGACTCGATTATCGCTTGAAAATAAAAATCATTTATTCCTTTAGTTTTCCTTTATTTTCTAAAGATAAATGAATGATTTATCTTTATTTAGTAAAGTAACACTAAATGACCACCCCTATTTGGGGCTAAAATGTAGAACTCACATATAATTTTTCGTCTAATTCTACTTACACACAATACGTAAAGTGTAAAATGTTCTAGTAGACAATCGATCAGTAGGGGGAAAATGCCTTATTTAGTTTGGCATCCCTACTAATCTCCGTAATGGAAGATGATCTATCTAGGGAGGTCTGCAGGGGGCCTGTAAGGGGTTCCATAAGGGGTATGTCTGTAATGGGAAGGGGAGCACAAAAATTACGCTGTTAAACGTACACTCACCATTTTCTTCGAAAACATATGTGAATTCCACAAAATAAATCGGTGAATTGGGATATCGGTGAATTGGGAAATCGGTTAACATGAATATAACAATATACTACAGAGATGAGAAGAGTCTTTTGTACAGGAGTATAAATAGTGCTGGATTTGAATAATCTCTGTTGGATGTTTAAGAAATACTTATTCGTACCAAAACTAATATGTAAATCATTTATTACGTACTGTTATGCAGGACCTATTAAATTATTGAATCGTTCGAAAGGGAAGCACGGTTTCGTTTCTATAAAATGAAATATTGTGTATAAGGAATATTTGGCTGTTTGAAGTAACTTTCAATAAAGATAGCAGTATGAATATGATTTTATTATGCCTTTTTTAGTAATTTAATGACATAAAAACTGCCATTTTTTTCTAACTGAGCTTTAGCATTCGCATTGGTGTCTTACTTTGAGCGTTGAGATGCAACCATGCATAACTCGGTGTGTTAGCTTTATAAATTTTTATTCACTGTATTGCACGCAAGCCGTGCAATATAAAAACTGAGCTACTGATATGAAAGGATAGAAACAAAATCGACGAAGCATGAAAGTAAGAGGAAAGAAGAAAAAAATGCGTTCAAAGTGTACACAACGACCATACATCATAATTAATCTAGTAACGACCTCTTTAATAGAAAATACTGATTTAGAATAACGAAACTCATAGACATATTTATGCATGTATGTATGTAATTTAACATCATATTATTAATTCAATTTCTGATAATTCAATTAATAAAGAATTATTTTAACGCAACAATCTTTTATTTTATCATAATATGGAAATTTTTGATCTTGTACGATCATTTTCAATCAAAATAACAGAACTTTTACAACCGAGATGCTAAAAAACAACAACAAAAACGAAAAGAAAATTACGGAAATATCTTGACATTTGAAGTACTGTAACAATATGAACATATAAAGTAGAAATTCAAGCGTGATTTATATATATCAAAGCTGTTAGCGCAATCCCTGCCGCATTGAAACGTGAAACACAATGAAAATCATTTTCTGGAATCCATCTACCACGATCTGTGATGGTCTGTGGAGCTTCTCTGCAACGATCGGTATAATGATGCATGGAATCTCTAGAGACCATCATAGACCGTTACAGAGAAATTAATTAATTAATTAATTCATTTCGCTGTAATGTTCTGTGGATGGAGCGAGGGGATCCAAATTTCTACCCTATAGACGTCAACACTCCTTTCAGATTGTGTTTCACAAAAGAATAAGTATATAATTATTTGGAATAAGATCTAGGTTAGGATGTAGATCCCATTTCGCACAAATCTTCAGGGTTTGATTAACGCTCATTTTAATCACAGAAGAGATAGGTTCGTTGTACAAAATTTTCATTTCAGAATGCGAAAGCTGTCGATATTTTCAGTGTTAAACAAGCTGTTATTGTTGAATTTCAATAACAGCTCGCCTTGACACTCAAAACAGAAGTGTTTGATCGTTTTCACATTTTGAAATGAAAATTTTGGACAAAGAACGCATCTTTTCTATGATTATAATGAGCGTTAATCACTCACCATCACGAATAACGATTGAGTGTTTAAAAACATTATTCCAAACTTTTTCTACTCGGGCACCACTTGATCAACACTGATAATAGTTCCGAAAATACGGCTGAGTGTGAAGTCTTTTCACACTGCACTGAAAAGAACTTACACGTATCTGAAATTTTGCTTCAGTAGCATTAAAACAATACTCACTAAGTTCGCTGCACAATAATTATTGACTGGTTGTTTTTCCACGTATCAACTAGTTGCACCTTCCAAAAACACAATGTATGGTTCATGTTTGGTGTCTGTTTAATCTAAAACAGAAATAAATAAATTGATCCTGAGCGAAACTTTTCAGCTTACTTATTGTTTGAAATTCCCCAATCAAACACTAATTAGGATTCAACTGATTTAGTATTCAGAGATTTACCACAGCACAATTCATTTACGATTTCTCTGTTTCAGTACAATAACCCTCATATATGAACAACTAAATTTCTATCATACCATTTAACAAAAGCCATGTTGTCATAGATGCTTCACAGATCCATTCACGGAAGATAATGAGAATCGATAAGCCAAGGGGGGGGAAAGCGGCTCCTGGTTCCTTGGATTCTGACGGCTCCTCGTGGATCCTGGTGGATTCTATGGATCCTAGTGGATTCTGGCAGCTCCTCGTGGATTCTGGTAGATTCTGTGGATTCTGTTGGATTCTACTGGATTCTACTGGATTCTANAGAAATGATTATAATATTGTGAATCAAAATTTTTCTTCTGTGTACATTAGATCACATCATAAGTGAACAGTATCTAGGGATCTTTCATATATTAGATCATCACGTTTTCTTTTATTATGGAGCTACTCCGTCTTATGCGGTTACTTGCCATTTTCTCGAGATATCATCCTTCCATCTTCCCAAGTGACATTTTCAAACCCAGGGCAAACAATCAGATGTTAAGATCTGATAAGACTCTGCATCAGATCTTATATGATCGTGTAAGATCCGACAAAAAATCGTACGAAAATCGTATTCTCTGAGATCTTAGATCAAGTCGCAGAATCAGATTTTTTAAAGATCTTATGAATGTGTACGATCTTTCAAGAATCTGATTCTGCGACTTGATCTAAGATCTCAGAGACTACGATTTTTTGTCAGATTCTTCGACCTGGGTAAATAATATTCAAATGCTTTATGCAGTATCTGATACAAAGACTTAGACAACACATTTTGAAAAACTTTACCAGAAAAAAATTGATCCTTATATTTATTAATCATTCTGAATGAACAAGACGGTTCTTCATCTGAGAGGAACGACTAGAAGAATCTAAATCTTACTCTGACTATAATCACTCAACAATAATCATGCAGATGTGGAATTGACCCATGCCTAGGAAATGTATACTATTTTAGGAACAGCTGTTAAACGTGATTTACTAAGAAAAACACAAAAAAATTAACAGAAATAAGTTAAAATCGTTGGTTCTATTGTCGATTACATACGTGTTACAGGCCTACCCTCACATATTGTTATATCATTCCTTTTGTTCTTCTATCTAGTCACGCGCCACATCTATTGTCATATATATATAAATGTATAAATATATATGTTGTCTTCTCAACGGAGGAGAGAGAGATAAATGTGTGCATACAACATGTTGTTTGTTTAGTAGTTAGTTATCGATTTTAGAATAAACGAAGGGAGTAACATCTAAACCCCTAACATTTGGTGCCGGGACCGAGTATTTTTATTATTTTAACAATAATAAAAATCTTACTAGAGGGCGTTCCTGATTAGGAGTGACCCGAAAAAAATAAAAATATGGAAATTAATTAAAGGAAATTCATTTTGAATTACCTGCCAAAAAAGCAAAAACAAAAAGAAGATAAGTTATTAAATTGTCAGCAACATGCGAGATTCAGCAATAATGATATGTTATCGTGAATGTTTATCAAATCTAGAGAAATTCAACGGTGGAGAAGAATATACAATTTTACAGTTTATCAACAATATCGAAAGAATTGGGAAAATGATCGATGCAAATGATAAGATTTTATATTTTATGCGTATGGCAAAATTAGATGGTGAAGCACAACGTTGGTACGAAGATAACGTATCATTAATTCAATGGAAACAATTAAAATCGGCATTATTGGAAAGATTTACCAAGTCTGATTCATCATCAAAAATATTCTAACAATTAAAAGAACGTAAACAGAAATCAAACGAAACAGTTACATCTTATTATGATGCCATTATTAAACTTTGTCATAAATATGATGCATCTATGTCACAAAAAAAGATGATATCATGGTTTTATCTAAATCAGCTCGAACAACACAAGCATTTTTTTAAATTGCGAACGATGAAGAAGAACTACTAGATAAAAATGTTCCAGAGCCTGAAACAACAGTACCGTATGTTCCATATATTACAAATACAGTATCAACAACTAATGATGCATCAACAACGTTACGGACTCCTACTTATATAACTGTTCAAATAAATAATAAACAACATCAAGCCATTGTCGATACTGGATCTGCAGTCACCATTATTAATCAACAATTATTAAAAAAGATTTATCACACGGGATTTATTTACAAGAAGCAATTACACAAATCAGCTAATTGTACGTCTATTAATATTATTGGTGAAATTCAACTTGAAGTTAAAATACAAGGACATAAAACTTTAATTATAGCGGCTGTTGCAACGAATCTTAATACTGATCTATTGCTTGGAAACGACTGGACTATGCAAAACAATGTTAATATTGATTCATTACAACGGCATATTACTATTATTGATCAGAACCGCCGCGAATTAGCAACAGCTCCATTCGTTCAACCTTCAAATCTTCAAGTTAGCGCAACTAATCGTCAACGGACACTATAAAAGAACACTCAATTGGGACATATGTCATATCAGGCTGAATTAAATAATCATTTTATTTTACCAATGTTATCCGAAGAAGAAAATTATCAACCAAAATATTTTAAATCATTTAATTACAAGAGGAACAACACTCAAAAGAGTGGTTCCTGTGATCCATTGCTTCCTGAGAAGAGGAAGGTCCGATTTACGGATTTTACCTGTGAAACAGAACGTCGTGACGAACAACAACATCAATGTTATGTTTGCCAAGAACAATTTTTACCACACAATAATTTACAACAGCATTTGCATCAGAAATGTTATCCGTCAGAAGCATCATTAGAAAATGATACTATAAATATTTTAGACGAAAACGCATTGAATTATAATGATAGAGAAGGGGGTCATGTACGAGATGAACCTTCAAATGAAATTGAAAACATGTCTGCTGATGGCATTCAGCAAGATACAAAGAACGATCAAAATCAACAATATATAAATCATAAATCATTAACAAGAAGCCAACGACAAAACCGCAAGCATCGAGCTAAAAGATACCGTTATGAAATTATTCGGAAAATTTATCATAAATTTACCATTACAGATATTAAAAAAATCTTAATACTTGTGGATATTTCTGGGTGTGGGTGTGGATGTGAGTGTGGGTGTTAATGTGTGGTGTTCCTCTTTTGAATAATCACCAGAAGCACCCCACACCCACACCCACACCCTTTTACGTTATCATTCAGAAAAATACTTTTTAGTGAATTTCTGGTACTTTTATTTCTACATGGGATATATATATGTATATATATATAATCAAAGTTATTGGATCTAACCATCGGTACAGTTCGCTGTATAAAAAACGTATAATAATAAGCACCAAATGATTTATTCAAGTGCAACGTACAATTCACTTTTTTAAATGTATCTGAACAGTTCCTAAGCCCTACAAAGTGTTTTGAAAAAATAAACCGGGTAAAAAGGTACTGAAAAGTTGTACAATAAATCAAATTCATATCTTCATATTGATGCAATTAAATGCTGGAACATATCTAAACAAGCAATTGAATTTACTTATTGAATCTAAAAATACTTACAATTACATAACTTGCTAGACCAATGCTCAAAAAGGAAAAAAATGTTTTATTTTGAATTTTATACTTACAAGTACTGAGTCGCTTGAACGATGATATCTAAATAAAAAGACACATACAACATTTTTTTTTAAATTTCATTCTCATTGATTATTGAACAAATACTTTGACAATATCTTAACGAATATTTTTTTCTACTTGACATTTATAGTTGTTGAAAAAATCGATCGGCCATATGCAAATATAAAATAACAAGCACGCTCATGTGGATTCATTCTTACTTTTTGTTTAAAAAATTGTCGGATTATATCTAAATCAAGCAAATAAATGCATTTATTTTTCTGTCGATCTATTGTTAAATAAAAACAATAAGCTCTTTTCGTCAAAGGCTAGAAGAATGAACTTCATGAGCGTAGAACAATAAACCCTTTTTTTGCTCATCCTAAACTCTTCTGATTTTCAAATACTGTTTGATTAATAAACTTTTCGACTAAAATAATCTTACGGGTTTAGGAGCAACTTTGTTAAGTACTAGGGTTTAGTGTACAAATGCTGAAAATTTGTAAAAATCAAAAGTGAACTGATTTAGAAAATCTAAAAAAATATTCGTGTACATTATAGAGATCATGAGCATTTCTACAAATTTGATAATCAAAATTTCTTCTCAGTCAAAGGTAAAAGCTTCATCAATTTATTTCTGATGAGATTTGTGTTTGTTGGCAAACAAAAAGGAAAGGCTAAAGGCATGTTTCAGGTTAATAACGCTTTAAAAATAAAGACACACCAATACGTGTACACTCGATACTAGGAACTATACATCACTCTGTTCACTAGTCGGAGTCTATTTATTAGTAGTTTGGTTTTAATTTACCGAAACCATCGAAAACAACTACAATATGAGATGAATCCGTACCGTACGGGGATGCGGCAGACATCCATTATTAAAAGACTATTGTGCAGTTCTCCATTATCAGTAATTGAATAAAAAAAATGATTTAAACTCGTAATAATACCTATGTCATATTCCTCTAATCTATGGTGAAATTTAGGGATGCACTAGTACCAGTATACTGGGTACTGGTCATACTGGTCCACCAGTATACTGGTCTACCAGTAAATACTGGTCACCAGTAATACTGGTTTTCTACTTTCGAAAATAACTATCAGCTAAATGAGCCATTCTTTCAGCCATCACTTGCCTTGTCTATATTCAAGTGAAAAATTGAGTTTTGACGCATTTTGAAACAGTATAAGATATTCTATACTCAACTAGCTGATAACATTATATAGAACTTTTTTCAATAGTTTTCAACGTTTTTAAAGAAAAAAAGAATTTCATTCATGAACTTAGTCAGATAGTAAAACAATCTTATGAGATACACCGATGAATCGGAATATTATGTTTAACATACCAACTTGAACTTACGCTTAATCGACCAAGAAAACAAAACACGATATTTAGTGAATTTTATCAACATTTAGTTACATAAATCTCATATAAGTAAATGGCTTGATTTCTCTAGTTCTCTCAGTCAAATGACACTATTTTCACATATCTATTGCATTAGTCTATGTAAATAAGTAACATAGCGAAAGCTAGAGATTTTTGCTCACGATATCGGACATGGGACAGATAATAGATATATTAAATGAAAATTATGGCACGGTGAACAAGCAAAGTCACTATTACCTACTCAATTTTATAACGATACCAATAATTTGATCGAATCTTTTAATTTATGTAATCAAAAATAATGCCCCTAACTCTTTATCGNTACAACGCCAATCAAACCTTTGTGTCAATACAGTCAAACATATACTTCGCCATTATCAAATCAAGTTCACCAATGTTACACCTAATAAATCTGTCATGCATATTGGAATTAAATCGCAAGATGAACAACAATTATATGAACAATTATTACCACTTGACATTTTTCTTTAGCCTAGTATGGGGGGAGGTGTCAGGATCGCCATCTATTATAATAGTTGAACGATCCTTCGTCTCTCTTGTCTTTCTTCTATTGGTCTTTTATGTACATATATGTTTTTTCCTTTTTCCTTTTTCCTTTTTCTCTCTTCGGGTTGTTGTTTTTTATCCTCAATAAAAGTGTGGTCGAACGACTGTAGCTCGAAGAGAGCCTAACCCGACTTCCTTCTTTTCATCGTCTCGATTGTAACGGATCCTAACAAATAGTCAACCGTATACCGTACAAAAAATACTTGAAATACCATCTTCACAATTAAATTTGATGTTAACAGAATTGAAGCGAAAAGATCTATGTTTAGGAACCCGTGATTTAGCAATGTTAAATGAATTCGTGTCGTTATTAGTTCTAATTGGTGAAGCAACAACGGTTACTCAAGCTCAAAATACACCGTCAATTAGGGATGCACCAGTACCAGTATTTACTGGACCAGTAGACCACTATAATACTGGTCACCAGTATAATACTGGTCACCAGTATTACTGGTTTTCTACTTCAAAACTAATTATCAGCTAAGTGAGTATTTTTTTTCAGCCGTCACTTCCATTGTCTATATTCAAGTGAAAAATTGAGTTTTGACGCATTTTGAAACAGTATAAGATATTCTATACTCAACTAGCTGATAACATTATATAGAACTTTTTTCAATAGTTTTCAACGTTTTTAAAGAAAAAAAGAATTTCATTCATGAACTTAGTCAGATAGTAAAACAATCTTATGAGATACACCGATGAATCGGAATATTATGTTTAACATACCAACTTGAACTTACGCTTAATCGACCAAGAAAACAAAACACGATATTTAGTGAATTTTATCAACATTTAGTTACATAAATCTCATATAAGTAAATGGCTTGATTTCTCTAGTTCTCTCAGTCAAATGACACTATTTTCACATATCTATTGCATTAGTCTATGTAAATAAGTAACATAGCGAAAGCTAGAGATTTTTGCTCACGATATCGGACATGGAACAGATAATAGATATATTAAATGAAAATTATGGCACGGTGAACAAGCAAAGTCACTATTACCTACTCAATTTTATAACGATACCAATAATTTGATCGAATCTTTTAATTTATGTAATCAAAAATAATGCCCCTAACTCTTTATCGTTTTGGACTTATACTTACAAGTTGAACCTGACACATCAATATAGTAGTTTTATTAGTATTAAATAAAATTAGTGCATAAGTTGCCCGAGTATCAATAGTATTTTCTTATTTTATACTAATACAAGTGACAATTGTCATTGTTTGCAAGATATACATTTACTGTTTTCTCCATTGACTGACTTTTAGTGCTATATAATATACTTAATATAGATTTTCGAGTACGATTTCTTTTTTTACCATGACTACGACCTGAATTAATGATCTTTTTTCTTCAAAAACGCTGAAAACTATTGAAAAATGTTCTAGATAATGTTATCAGTTAGTTGAGTATAGAGCATCTTATACTGCTTCAAACTGCTGCAAAACTCAATTTTTCACTTGAATATAGACACAGGAAGTGATGGCTGAGAAAATGACTCATTTAGCTAATAGTTATTTTCGAAAGTAGAAAACCAGTATTACTGGTGACCAGTATACTGGTTTACCAGTATGACCAGTACCCAGTATACTGGTACTGGTGCATCCTTAGTAAGGAAGTCAAATTTTGTTTTTCAATTACTTCCATCAAAATCAAGCACGACAGTCAAGGATGTGGACGTGTGAAACTATCATGCGATATGTTATATCGAAAGAAAACGAGCATCAGCAACGTACGTTTTCCGTATCACCATCAGATATTTTCACATAAAATCTAAATCGATAGAAATAGAACAAAAGCAACGATATGTATCATAACAAATTCACTGATTTCAGTATTGGTCGTCAATGGCAGACACATGAATGCAAAAATTGAGAAAATATTCTACAAGAAAATATTCAGCTTCTTGCTGGATTAAAATAATTGAGTACGCTGCCGAACGAAAAATATTGATTAATCTGTTTTGAACTAAAGGTAAGCGCTTTGCTTATGGTATTTTGTATTACTCATATTCTCTTTTAAAACGCCATATCATACATCAACTTAAATGAATAAATTGAACAGAACCATGCATTTATGCATTGACTATTCAAAGTCTATTAAATCGCCTAGATTTAGAATATTTTTTATGGTGACGAGTAGTTGTTTTCATATAAGATAAATAACATAATTGTTATTTGAGAAAAACTGAAATTTTGTTAAAGTACACTTAGATATGATTAGAACAATTTAAGAGTGTGAATATCATTGGGAATTATTAGACTTGAGCAAAATGTTATTTATTCAAAAACAAAAATTTAATTTTGCTGGGTGATGAATTTGGTTTAGAGGTTCAGTTATTCTAATATCAGGTGTATTAAATGTTGTATCTGTACTTGCCATACAACGGAATGCTCTAATTAGGAAGCTGACTACTAACATTATGGATACTCGAATCTGGTGTTTACTCATGCACTGTGATAGTTTCCATGCGAGTAAAACTGTTCTGAGATTATTTTTTTATAAGCATGCAATGCTACGATAATTATTTTTTAACACAAACACTACTGGATGAACCTGTGTAATAAGCAAAATAGTCTAATCTTGGTTGCGTACTATACGATTTATTAAGATTCGCTATTTGATAATTTCATACAGAAGTAAATACAAAATGAAGTTTAACGTAGAATGTTACTCTTCTCCTCATTATACGTTAGGTAGGTCTTGAGAGAAACGATGATACGAGTAGAGATGGAGCTAGTAGATAAAATTGTTTTGCATCATCGATTCGAAATTACTGTTGGAATCTTGAGTCTAGAAATTCGGTCTTGTATGAAAGAAACATATTGAAAACTAATATATGGTTATGCAAACATTTATGGCGTACTAAATGATCTGAAACTCTTCAACCTATCCATGACAGGCACCTCTTAGGCTTCAGGAAAATTCTAACTGAATGGTTAACTTTTAGGCTTAGTAGTAATATGAAGTATTTATTCATGATCATTATTTTATATTAATATTCTATTTATTTAGTGAATAATTAGAAGAAAACTACACTGAGAATGATTAGTAGATACTTCAAAACATTTGTTATTATAATAAAATACGGTTTACCATCCAAATATCAACTGAATCAGATTCAAAATTAATCGTAGACAATTTATAGAATACATCTCTATGATATATTTTCTGCATTTGTTCCTACTGTTTCCGTTGGGCTCGCTGGTGGACTAACATATCTGTATTGAAAATAAACTTTTCGTCCTGGTTTTGGTGGTAAAGATTTGTTTAATTTGGAGATAAAATTAAACAAGGTACCAAGTGGAACAGCCTGTTGTTCATTTGAACCTTTTAGTAAAATGTCCCTGATGTCTGGCATGGTTTTACATGATTCATGAAATTCAATTAATGCTTCACCATCCATTGATTCGCATATAGGTATTAATGGATCAAGTTTTTTATCGATTAAAAATTCCAAAACATGTTGATTACTCCACATGGATGCTTCAGGAATATTTAAATATTGCCTTGTTTGAATAGCGACTTTCTCAGGTTTCTGTGGCATTTCTGTTTTTTCTGATTCTACTGATTTCTTGGCTTCCTCTTTTTTATTCGGTTCTTCCTTTTCTTCGGCTTCTTCTGATTTTTTTGAATCTTCCTTTTTTTCGGATTCTTCGGATTTTTTTGAATCTTCCTTTTTTTCGGATTCTTCGGATTTTTTTGAATCTTCTTTTTTTGATGCTGTATTTGTTCCGGTTTGATCAGCCTTTTTTTCTTGATCTTCATCTTTATCATCTAGCCCATTTCGTTTCAGTTCTTCTATCAATAAATTATATGCTTTTTCGAATTCTTCATCCTCTTTATCAGCAAAATCAACATAAATTTTTGAACCAGCCATAAAGCCTAACCATCCATCGGCTTTATACTTTGGTTCGACAATAAGTGGAATTATTTTACTATGCTGATTGAATGCATATTCAGCTTCGGCTTTACAATTAATACTCTTCTTATAGTTACTTGACATACAAAGGAGTACAAATTTTGAATTTTCAATAGCTTCAGCCATACTTTCAATGATTGATCCTCGCATTTCATCTCGATCTAACCAAACTTTATAGCCATCCTTTTCAAGACGATCATTAATTCTATGGCATAGTGGCTGTTGTGCCCAACAGTATGAAATCATCATATGGTATTGATCCGGTTCTTTTTCCGCGGTATTGTCTGTTGGAGCTGCAGGTTTTGCATCATCTGTTTTCTCACTTTTTTCATCTTTTTTCTGGTTCTTTTCATCTTCCTTTTTTTTCATTTTCTCCAGTTTTCTTTGTTCAAACTTTTGTTCCCCTTCTATTTTCCACATTATACCATGTGCGATTTTTGCAACTTCTTGTATTTCAGCGTCTAATAATTCTTTTACATGATCAACAAACTCTTTATCCTCACGAATAACTTTGTTTCCGTCTTTATTGAATGCCATGGAATATACAACTTCCAATGGTAACGGATCATCTATACTTTCTTTTGCAAATTTAATTATCGATGGTAATGCATCTTGTTTCATAACTTCTTCTTTAACGTCATCGTTTTGTATTAAATCTAATAATGAAATAGCAAAATAAAGAATGTTCTATATAAAAAAAAAAGCAAATAAAATCAAATACCCTTGAATCCTTTTAAAGCTGCATCAGCTTTATCAGCGTTTCCACTTCGAACTGCAGCATTAAAATTTTTAATGAACAATGCAGTAACTTTTTCTGTGCTATTTTCTTTAAGTAATTCGTCTTCTGGCACTAATAATGATATTAATTCTACTGCTTTTAGGTTGATTTGTTCGTTGTTTCCGTTTCCGTTTTCGATTTTTGATAAACTAACTAATATTTTAACTAAATCGGCTTTTTCTTCTGTTTCATTTTTCAATTGATTTGATAATTTTCTGTCCGATCGAACTATTTCAATCAATACACAAAGTAATACATAAATTAGTTTGTTACGTGCTTCTTCATTAGTTGGATCACTGTCTGGTAGATGTAGATTGAGATTGAGAACAATGTCATACAAAGGTTTTCTACGTTCATATGACGATGAACGAATTTGTGGTAAAATGAATTTTAAAGGATAAACCAAACAGAACATAACTGGTGCTGTCCATTTCTCGACATGAGGAAGCAATTCTGTCAATGCTTCATTAAATTGATTTAATATTTCATTAGATATTTTTGAAGAATAACTTTTAGTTTTATCACAAAGAACAATATATTTTGGACAAGTAACAAGAAGAAATTCTTGTGTAGTGTTCAACGATGTTGCAATGGGATCATTTAGACTACGTACAGCATCTATGTAATAATGGCTCGTAATACATTTAATAAGTGAATCAGCTAATTGTTTACATTGAGCATGTTGAAATGCTTGAATAAGGCAATCGAATAGTTGTAAATTTGGATCTTTCGAATCATCAGTACCAAGATGATGACCATCTGATGCTATGTTTTGTAAGCATTTGTCCGTAAGATCAATTAATTCAGTTTCTTGATTAATCCATTCTTTAGCATCAGGATCTGTTTTAGTAGATTGAAGAAGAAATTCAGTGCTACTTCGAAAGATTTCTTTTTGATCTGTATCTATTGTATCATTTGACAGCCAACATTTCAACACCGAGCAAAGTCCTTTCGGAAGATGTTTTTGAAAAATTGGATCTTGTTGAAATCTTTTATCGCACGCAGTCGTCGATGAATTTTGTGGAGTTGTTTTCTCGGGTTTCTCACCAGCTTCGGTTTTTTCGTCAGTTTCAATTTTCTCATCAGTTTTGGTTTTCTCACCAGTTTCGGGTTTCTCACCAGTTTCGGTTTTCACGCCAGCTTCGGTTTTGTCATCAGTTTCGATTTTTTTATCAGCTTCGGTTT